GATCCAGCAGAAAGGCACATCTGGTTCCAGATAGAATATGTAAAAGTGGCCTTTCACACTCAATGGAAAAAAAGAAATGCTGAGACAAGTTCGCTAAGTTAGACAAAAAAAATGATTAATTCCTCATGTAATAACCTACCCTGGGCTAGCATAACTGACGCTATTTTAGCTGTAAACTCCAACCTTCCTTTCCCCTCCTTACCACAGCCCCTTTGGGTGTATAACTGGGTCATGCTGCACTTAGAGGCATTGAAGGTACTGTTCTTAACACTTGTAACCATTGTAACCTCATCCTGCTTGGCACACCTCCCCGCTGCTATTGTAAGAAAAAAGTCTCCCTTTGATCATTAGAAGTAGCCTGATCGCCCCGCTTCTTAGTAATCGTATGGAAACCACCTGTGCCCGCAGCCCCTTCCTCTAACCTGCTTTTCTCCTTCTGTAAAATTCCACTTCCACAAGGTACTCCCCTCTCCTACCAAAACCAAGGTATAAAAGATAATCGGGACCCTTCTTCCGGGCCGAGTGAATTTTGAGTGTTAGCCATCTCTCAGTGGCAGGTTAATTAATAAAGGACTCTTAATTTGGAACTCAGGGTGTGACACGTTCCTTCTAACTTGCTCATTTACAATACTCATAGAATAATAAAACTATAACTTTCAGGGTTATCTTTTCAAACTCACAGCAAAATTGTCACATCTTACCAGTGTTACAGAACTGGATACTGTCTGAGCCCTAATCATTGTGCAAATTAAGTTTCATCCCTAGAGAAGATAATCCTTAAGCTGACTTGTTAAAAAAAAAAATGCTCCGGTACAGTGGTTCTCATGCTTTTTGGTCTTAGTATCTCCTTACCCTTTTAAATAACTTTTCAAATGAATTAAAGCCCCAAAGAGCTTTGCTGATGTGAGTCACATCTACCAATATTTGCTATAGTAAAAATTAAATCTTAGAAACATTTTAAATTGCTTTTTATTCATTTTAAAATAGCAATAATAAACCTACTATAATTTACCATAAACAAAATGCTTTTATGAAAGCTAACTACATACTCTAAAAAAAAAAAAAAAAAAGTTTTAGTTGGAAGAGTAGGGATATTCTACATCTTTGTAAATCTCTTTAATGGCTAGTTTAATAGGAGACAGCTGGATTCTCATAGCTCCTCCTGCATTCAATCTGTTACAATATGCTGTTTTGGTTGAAGTCTGTGAAGGAAATCCAGGCTCTCAACGACATGTTATTAAAGCAGGGAAGAGGGATATTTTAACAGCATTTTGGATAATTGTGGATTGTTTTATCTGATGCCTCTCTAAAGTACCACTGGGCAAGTAGTGGTTTCTACAGGTGAGTTGCAACATACAACTTAAAACCACATCAGTGGACTTATGTACTCTGTTAGAATAAAATCTGCATGTCTATCTTACACTTTAAACGGATCTCTTACCTATGTGTGATTGTCTCACAATGAGTATTTAGAAAATATCGGTCCACTGAATTGTGCAGATCTTCCAAATGTTGAAATACTTCATTATGCTATTTCCAAAAAATCATTAATATCATCACTGGTGTTGTCAATGAAACTGGCTTTCTTTTTTTCTTTAATGAGAGTTGGTGGTGAAGTATATAATGACTAATAGCAAAGTTTCCTGCCCTAACTTGATTTGTGCTATGGGACAAGCAGTTTTACCCACTGTTGGTTTTATACCAGTGTGCAAACGTCAACATAGTGAAAAAGGCAAGTAACGTTTTCCTGTTATTAAGAAAATAGTTTTGACCTTACCAATCTCCTCAAAGGGTTTTGGGATTCCCTAGTGTTTCAGCCCATGCTTGGAGAAGCACTACATTAGCGTGACACTGAAAATATATTGTCATCTTTTTGCCTTATTTGCAAGTGTTAGATAGTTTTCTCTAACACCTCCAACTTTCACACAAATAAAGAGAGAGCGTTCACCCTAGTTAGGAGCAGGAAAGCTAGTAGAGGAAGCCCAGTGGGGCTGGGGCAGGGAAAGGAGGGGGCAGGGAGCAGGTTTCATGGCTGTCACTTCCTGATGTACGAAACGTGTGAGCAAGACCACCCAGAAGAAGAAATGTCTTCCTCAGATTTGGCTCTGCAGGAAAGAGTATATGATCAAAGGAGGAAATAAGTCAGGGAAATCTTCCTAAAAGCAGATATGATGACCCAAAGGCAAGTGTGGGTGGGCTCAGGAGTTTCGCAACACAGTCAAATGCCAGTTAACCATTAATCAGCAAAGTTAATTAGCAGATAATCACTGTCCCTTAGGGTTTATAGGACTCTGCAGCTCTTGCAGATAAATTAATTTCCAAAGAGAACAAACAACCCAACTCTTTAGAAACCAGATGTGAATATAGGCTTTTGTCTCAAGCCTGCAAACAGCACACTGATGACTTCTTCAGGATGGCTGAGCTCCTTAACCCTGTGTACCCCATTTCCTAGCTGGAGCACATGGATAGGGTAGGATGGGATGAAGTGGGTGGCGTGGACCAGGCACCCATCCATTTGACCAGCATCTCCTGTATCCTACAGCCCTGTGCCAAGAGATGGGGCCAGCACACTGGGCAGCAACTAGATGGAATCTGCTCATCATCCAGGAGGAGAGAGGCTTTAAAATAGAGGCCACATGACTGAGTGTATATTTACAAGTCGATCGAGTGCCCTAGGAGGAAGGAGTACAGAACCATGAGAATATATTTTTTAAATGAAACTATCCTGGGCTGGGTCTGAAATGCTTCTGGGAAACAATGTCTTCTGCTCTGTGAGCTGGAGGCTGTGTAGGAGCTCATGGTCCCAGGTAGGTGGGCAACCAGCGGACACCAGGGAAGAGGCCCTGTGTCAAGGCAGAGCATGGCGGCACAGTGACCACTAACAAGCATGGAGAATGAGAAGCACAAGGTCTGAGGGCAGGTGGGGGCCAGACCAGGCCTTGCAGACCAGGCACAGGCTGTGGGTCATTATGCTGAAAGTGAGGGGTCACCAAGGGGGATGGAAAGCAAGGTGTGTGCCATGGTGTGATTTGTATTAAGAATAGTATTGAAGGTGCAGAGCAGAGGACAGTGGGAGAGGTGCCAGGGTGGGGGTGGTGATTAAGTAGCAGGCCTTACAGATGTCAGGGAGAAGGCTTGGCAGCTTGGACTAGGGTGGTGATATCACGTGGGGTGGGAGAGAATGATGCATTCCGGAAGTACCAACCAGGATGTGAAGATAGAAAGGATTTCAAGGTGGAAGGAAAGGGAGGTAGCAGGGATAGCACCTAAGTTGTTGATCTGCGTAATTAGATGGGATATTACTGAACACTGGAGGAGGCCAGGTGGGGAAGGAAGCTCTGAAGCTCAGCCTTGGCTGTGTTGAGTTTGAGGTATGACAGACAGTCAGAGTAAGCAGTCTGATTTATGAGCTTGGAGATTAGGGGCAAGGTATGGACTGGATATACACTTGGTAATTTAAGCCACAGACGTAGAAGGCATTTGCCAGGAAAGAGAAAAAAAGAGGAGAAGGAGGGAAAGGAAGGGAAGAGGTCAAGAGAGAAAGGAAACTAGAGGAGGAGAAAAGAGAAGGTAGAAAAGAGAGAAGGGAGGGGACAGGAGAGCAGAAGAGGGAAAAGGATGATTTTTTTTTTTTTTTTTT